AATGGTTTTCCTTTAAATGTTTTAATCATACTTTAATTCTAATTTTACTAATTGTCTACAACTACAGAAATTTTCGAGATGTCATGGAGGCCAAGCTAAAGATTCTTGGAATTTTCGACGAGATCATCGATAGATCATTGCTGGTTTGACAGATTTTTTTATTTGTTTCTCATAGGGTGTCTATGGACATGATCATTATGGTACAATTAAAGTCATTTGATACCTATCACTATTGGACATTGTTTAAAGCTTTCTTAATATGGAATCATGTTTTATTTTTCCCAACACACTTGAAGACATGGAGGGTACCTTTGAGGCCCCGTCAGGGTAGTGCGGACTGTTCCCTGAAGCACGCTCGATCTGGAGGTTGCCGAGATTCTCCAATCGGGTGTCGGCGGAATAACTTAAGGCGTTACGCTTGCACTCTTCTCGAGACTGCCCGTCAGCAGCTACTCATGGAGTACATCAAGGGTCGCAATCCTAATAGGGTTGTTCAAGTTTAGGTCCAGATCGAAAAAAGCGATCGAACCGCACCATTAAGTCTAGATCAACTGGATTTCAAGTCGGTATTCGGTCCAAAAAATTTAAGCATTCAGGTTTTAGTCTGGTCTGGTCTAAACCCGAAATTATTTAGGTCATAACCGATTGGATTGAATAATAACCCTATTGGACCTAAAAGACCTAAAAACTAAAACTCTACCTTTCAAGTTCGGTGTTACACGTTGGTTCTTTATTTTGATAGATCAGATATCTAAATTTGTTTAATTAAAAAGGTTTTTTTATTAAGTTATTTTTTTAATGATTCAAAAAATTTATTTCACATTTGTTTTTACGACGATACATAGAAGTAGTCAATGTTGTGAATACTTTTTAGTTTGTCTATTTTTTTTCTTAATTTCATGGTAAAAATTTAAAAGCCTAAAACATAATTAATGGATCAAAAAATTTAAGAAATATTTTTTTCGGTCTAATCGGTCCAGACTGGTTCGGACCACTCCGGTCCAAACTCGGATAGATTTAGATATGGTCTTTGCTCCGTGATTTTGTTCAATTCGGTGAACAACCCTAAGTCCTGAACGGTTTAGAAGAGTCGGCCTTGCTTGATGGATTTTGGGTTAGTCTAACATTATGAACCCCTTTAATCCTTTAAGGTATAACCCCGATCTGTTTTTCCTTTTCCTTACGTGCATCTTAATTTTCAGCAGGCTCTTGTGTATGCTTCCCATGTAGCTTTTGATCGGACGAAGTAGGAGGAGCTCCGAGCGTCCATAGAGGAAGTTTTCTAGGAGTGTGCTCGACTAAGGACCCTACAGGAGAAGGAAGCCAAGAATTCCAAGGAGCTAAAGGGGCAGTTGGATTGTTGACAGGTGAAACGTCTTGAGCTGAACAAATGGGCTATTGTTGCAGAGCAGCTGGTTGGGTTGGCAAAAACCGCCGAGGTTAAGTTTTTACCGCGTCAACCTTCCCGCAGGGGGAGTCTACCCGGATGTGTGACGTGGAGAGCCTTTGCAAGGAAGCAATGGCTTGCTTCCAATACTTTTCCGCCTATGCTTCCACCCTTGAGGATCACGCTCGCCGCAAACTTCCCAAGTTTGTGGGTGAGATCTTATCGGGGGGAGCTTGTTCGGGATGATGCCTCCTTCCTTGAGTCCTTCTGGATATGTGAAGTCTTCTTGGGAGATCTTGGCAGCGACTGCTTAATGAAGGGTGACGAGGAGGGGCACTCGATGCTGTGCTTGGAGCTGGTGCCAGCCTTCCTTTCCAAGGTTTCTCCCGACTTCTCCCCCTTTCTTGAGGAGTTTGTTGAATCTGGGAAGAAGTTTACCGAACCAGGGGTGGTTTCTTGGTGTAACATCCCAACTCGCATAACCTGAATACTCGGTTTAGCAAACCGGGTTGCTATTAAGTTGGTATCCAAACACAACTTAATTTTCTAACAATTCAAATTAATACATCAAAATATAATTTAACATCCATCGGAGTAATAATCAAAATGTTAGCGAAAGCTTAAAACATTATTCAAAACACCACTTAGGAATCATGTCCGTAAAATTAAAGTAATAAGTTATTTAAATGATAAGCTGTAATTAAAAATCATCAAGCACCGCCACACACATCTCCTCGTCCTCATCGCCCTCCGAGATTGGCTCTAAGTTCCTCATTCCCTGTATTACCTATGTGCAGCAAAGAATAAACACCACACACTCAGCATTGAAGCTAAGCGAGTAATATCTAACATAGTCCTCTACTAATAGACGATCTCACTAGCCCATATCATCATACGATATCATGCACAAAAACATACATAACGATGTCACAACAGTTCATAAGATATAATCATGCAATGATACAAAAGCTAAGTACTTTCCTTACTAGTCCAATTTACTTTCTTTCATATACTGAGCTCTTAACCTATGCTAGGTTAAAGCTTAACTGATCTCAACTTTGCCTATGGGAGTCATGACCTTCCCCTTCGGAACAAAGGTCAAGCTCAAAACCAACTTGGGAGTTCCTCGTTGGGTGGGTGAGATCCCTGACCCCTTCGCAATGATAGTTCATAGATCCCCGTGCGCATATTTTTATCCGGATAGCCATTGGACCCAGAAGGTACCACATGACTCTAACTTACTAAACTTATGGCATACGCTTCCACTAATCCATTCAGGTCAGTCCCTAGAGTTCTTCTAGGAGATATGTCCAACATTTGTTAACAATTTATAATACAAAATTCATACATCATCAAGGCATTATCAATATATCCAACGTAACCAAATAGTGGCCTAACATTGGGTATATATAAGCACCCATGTTTACCGTCATGCGACACGCAAGTCTCAGAATAAGTCCTCAACGCAAGGTCCTAGTATTAAAGGCGACCGAACGGCCGCCCCTTAATTACTAGACTAACCTTCTATAATAGATCCATAAACACCTAGCAAAGATATGGCAAACAGATAAAGTAGCCCTATGTTTGGATGTGACAATACCAAACCATAATCAAAAGGTACAAAGGCCATTTGTTAAAAGGGAGAAATTAGCACCACTTGGTGAAATAGGTTCTTTTAGAATCAATTTCAAACCATCTGCTATAGGTTGTAACAACCCAAATGATCCCACTACATCAAGACCCTTTCGATATTGCACAAAAGCCATTACATTATGTTCAACTATCAATAAAAAGGCTACTCCTAGTAGAAGTGGTAGAATTATTCCAAGCATTTCAGCTGGAATAGCTATGTACATTTTTTTTTCTATTCGCAATCCAGAAATTCAAGTTCAGTTCTCCAATGGTACCCTTAGCGGTATGGGGTATTGGCCCCACGGTACTAGGGTACCGTCCTCACGGTACGAGGCACCGACCGAAATAGCCATTGTACTCACCCGGTAGGCCTGTCACGGTAGTGACTACAGACTGTTGGAGTTGTGCCCTGATGGCCAACTGTTCATCGTTATCCTATCATGTATTGGCAAATATAATATGTTTACACATCTCATGCTAATGTAAACGAATATTATATTCCTAGATTTCTATTTAAAGATGTTTATCAGATAGTGTTATTCTGCTGATGAGACTAACATTTTGAAATAAATATTTATCTGAATGTCCATAGTCGAGTATTAACGAGAGTGGGATATCGTTAATGCATGTGAGACTAGTGTGTGTTGGATGTTTGACTTAGTCTCATAGTCAATGACAGTGTGTTCGCATGCGCACATGGGCAGATATTATCTGAAGATAATAGGATGCCGGACTGACCCATCCTAAAGATGTTGCTTGAACTTTTAGTTCATGCTCTAAGCATCTTTAGCGCGACCACGGGTGTAACTATCCTTCGACTTGAAGTATTATGTTTTCTGCATATGTGAACCCGCATACTTTGATGCATTGTCCTAAGCCATATGAAATAAGGATGGTATACAGGCTTTGTTTTGGGTATGCCGCAGC